TAGCAAATCAGTATATTTAATTTATTATAATTATATTCAAAAATGTTAAAGATTGATTGATGACTATTGAAATTGGCAAGATTCAACTGTGTTATTTTTTGCACGGTTCGAATCTTGCGATAACAGGTTTGTAAATAAAGTTGTAAGTTGTAAACAGTTATTTGGGCAAGAGAATGTTTATGATTGAAAACTAAAGCACTGTTTTAATATTGAGATAGATTTTATTAACAAGAACAATATTACGTGTTGTAGTATTGTCGCAAGTGTAAAATATCATATATAGTTTACACATAAATCATTCCTACTCGAGGAAGTAAAAAGTAACATTAAACTACATCAGATATAAGTAGTTCGATGATTTTAGGCAATGGAGGTTCGTGTAATATTTATGATTAAAATGTTATGCATATTGTTGAAATAAACTATAATTATTAAAAAAAATAGTTGCGTTCTTGAGAATAATATCAATCATTAATATGAGTTCAATGTCCCGATTTCTCTGAGAACATAAGTAAAAATTAATTTTTAAATTTGCATTAGAATACTAAACATAAATTCCAATACTATCTGTTATTCGAAATGGAAATTACCACATAAATAAAATTTACAGATTTCATTGTTTTATACTATTGATAGTGAGCTGAATGAAAGATAATTAGTGATTGCAAATAGTGATTATCTGATAATCGTTGATAGAATCCCAATTTATTTTTTATATTACAAAAAATATATATCAATCTCAAATATAAATATTAGAAAATATAACAGTCGATACTTAATTTAATTTTATCCTTACTTAATTTAAATAAATCTATTATGCTAGAAAAATATTTTCATCGTATTAATTAGATACATTTATGCTAGTTTTACTTACAAAAAGAATTTAATATAAGTTTTAATGACTCAAAATTTTTCTTGAATTCTTATTTGGTTGTCCTATTTTAATATTTTAAATATGATTTCTCAATGTTACGTCTACTAAGTGGTTCAGCGAGTGAAAAAAAACTGATAAATCTATTTCAGAAAGATTAAAATCATTATAAGAAATGTTGCAACAATTTGTTTTTACAATTATTTTTGCCAATTAGGCAGTTTGCATCTAAACAAAATTAGCAGTTTGCATATGAACACGGGGTATTCTAATATTGTCTAGGGTTTGCATTGAGAATTGATGTATTGTAAGCATAGATAAACAAGTATAAAGATTGTAAGTATCATTCTTTCGACTAAAATAGCTTTGTGTTTTGTTTTTCCTGGTATGATTTGCTGAAATGTCACATATCAATTGTCGAAATGATTAAACAAAGAATTGTCAAACTTAAATTCTTATTGTTAAATCAACGAATTGGCCACCATATATATTGAATACATGCACCAAATTCTTCGAAGCATTACATTGAATATAAAATGAAGATAAGTCATAGTATATTTATTTTTCTCAAATAATTTTAACTTCCAAAAGGAGAAGTTTATGTTTTCATCAAGAAATCCTTTGCTTATTTTATGTTTTCTCAACGTCTCAAGCCATTCTGAATCGAATGAGACCAAATTTGGAAAAAGTATGTGCGGTGTGTGTGTGTGAACAGGTTTTTGCCGTAAATCGACGTTTTCTCAAAAACGGTTGGACCGATTTCAAAAATTTGAAAGCCATTTGTGCGACGATCGACCAAGCCGTTTTTTTTGTAAATCGCAGAGAAGTGAAAAATTTTTCGTCGACGTTTTAGCCCGCAATTCTGAATCGATTTTGAACATTCAAAAACTGTTCGAAAAATATTGGTTGGAAATCTTGTAATAAAGTGTTAAAAAAGTTTTTTTCGACTATTTTTATGATTTTTTATGGTTGATTCCATAGTCTTATTGATCATACTAAAATATTACGGCCATACGTCGTTTAATTTTAAAAAAGTTTGCAAGAATTAGTATTGTTTTTTGACATTTGTCAAAATTAGACCTTTCATCGACATTGGCTCGAAAACGCCTGAACCGATTTCAGATATTTATAAACCATTCGATGTATTTCAATGAGGACTATCGTTTGTCAGTTTTGTGCGACGATCTACCAAGCATTTCTTTGTAATTTGGAAAAAAGTGTTATAGTTTTCGTCCACATTTAAGTTCATACTACTAAATCGATTTTAAAAAATCAAAAATTGTTTGAAAGATATTAGTTGGGAATGATATTGATTAGTTTTAGGTGAAGCCGTTTTCTCACGTAATATTATGGCCTTACGACAAGTAGTTTAATTCTAAAAATTCATCAAAATTTGAGAAAATGGGTAGTTTTTTTGAGGTTTGTTAAAATTAAAATTAGACGATTTACTTGGTATAACGACAGAGCACTTGGTCTTAATGAACATACTAAATCATTAAAGTACTACGGAAACTGGTTCAATTAGAAAAATTATTGATTTTTTTTAATTTGCTTTTAGGAAATACTCCGAGTTGACGTGATCGTTCGTTTTCAATTATGTGTAATAAATCAACTCGGAATACTTTAAATCACTCTTAAATTAATTTATTTTTTATTGATTATAGTTCGATTATTAACTTCCCGAAGGTGAAGTTTATGTTTTCATAAAAAAATCCGATTTGCTAATTTTATGTTTTCTCGACGTTTCAAGCCATTTTGAATCGAATGAGACCAAATTTAGAAAAAGTATGTGTGTGTGTGTGTAAACAGATTTTTTGCCGTAAATTGACGTTTTCTCAAAAACGGCTGGACCGATTTCAAAAATTTAAAAGCCATTCGATGTATCTCGATGAGGATTATTGTTTTTCAGTTTTGTGCAACGATCGGCCAAACCGTTTCCTTAAAAATAGCAGAAAAGTGAAAAAATTTTTGTCCACGTTTTAGCCTGCAATTCTGAATCCATTTTGAAAATTCAAAAACCGTTCGAAAGATATTGGTAAATTAATTTATTTTTTATTGATTAAGTCGATTATTTGCACATATCGGGAAGTTCATGTAACTTGCCTCAAGGCGAAATACCAGTACCAACTAGTTAATTATGAATTTATACCATTTTGAGTGGTGCTTTAGAAACAAAAACCATAAATTAACTGTAAAGCAATACATTGGTTAATCATAATTAAATAGAATACTAAATGCATTTTCAGAGAAAAAGATTTACATGTAAGCTAGAGTAAATCAAATCAGTTTGTAACATGTTCTCAATAGAGCTCAAATAGTTCAAAAAGTGAAGAAACTATAATTATTTTTCGTTTTTTATTATATGCATGCATTTTGAAATCAACATTGATATAACAGAATATATTAAAAGTTATTGAAGTAAAACTACTTTAGAGTGCAAATCCGTACAAATGCAACGGAAGTGAGTTACGGCAGATAAGAGTCGAGAAGATAAGAGTCAAGTGCCAATGATTCGTCATTCAATCTCGATGATATCATTTCTATACGGGTCGATTGTGATTAGTCGTCGCGTAGGTGAATAGAGAGCTGTCGTTGTATGAGTACCGATACCAACAAGGAAATCGGCATAGATAAATAAACATTTCAATGTTACATCGTAGTACAAATCTTGATTTAATGAAAAATGTCTGAATAAGAAGTATATTTTACACTGTTCCTTGTAAATATTGATTAATAAGATAAATGATTAGTAAGTTTATTGATTAGAAATTATTTCTATATTATTCGTAGTGTCTATAAATATTTGAAGTTAACGGTGGAAATTGGCACGTATTTTTCAGACAAGAAGTTACATGAAACAATTACATGATGAGTGAAGTTGCGAAAACAATATTTGTTTAGGCGTTGTTGAACATAATCCACTGTGTGAACGAATATTATAGAATTTATTAATCAGCAATTACTTCATTTCTCTAATGAAGGTTCAATTTTAAATGCTAATTACAATGACAAACCGATCGTGTCATATTTGAAGTATGACTTTAATCATTACATTATTGTTTTTAAATATCATACATATTTTTAATGCTATTATAAATAAATAATTTATGATTTATTATTATATAAACGTATATAACGGTGAGCACTAATAAATGTGTGCATCACGAGTGTTGCCACATTACTCATTATTCAAAATTATTTTATGATGTATTTATTTTTACTTAAATAGCTTCTTGTAATGCCATATTGCCAATGACTGTAGAAAATAAGTTTTCTTTCAATCGTGTGTAAACCTTACGCGCACTCTTTTTTTTTATATAACAAGTTTTGGCTATAACATCATAGCGTTCATGGAGTGGAAAATAAAGTTTTTTATTCTTATACCTTGATATCCTTAGCATAAGTTATGCTAAAAATAACAACACTTATATTTGTGGTAAGAGGATGTGCTCTATGGTAATATACTAATTCAATAGAACTAAACATGAATAACAGTTAGTGAAATATCTGATAGTTTCAAATAGAAATGCTAAATAATTTCTATTCTAGTCTCAGAAAAATCAGAATACTATATGCGATATTTTAATAATTGTTATTCATGTTTATTTCTGTTGTTGGTCTCAAAAAAATATTACCATAATACACAATGCACATCTTCATACCATGGAGTATTAGTTTTATTTATGTTACACTAAATGATGGATACGATGTAAGCTAAATCGTATGCATATTAAATATACATTAAAAATTTTTTACAATTTTTAGTGATGTAACACCCAATCATTGGACTTAACTCATATATACGAGACTCATATATAAATTTAAGTTTGTGTGTGTATCGATATAAGATAAAGTTAATTATGCATCCTTGTGATCGTCTTTCATTGTTAATAACTTTTATCAGTCACTCAAACAATTTTTTTGTTAAAATTTATTTATAATCTACATTTGTCGCAAATGACAATGGCTCAAACGCAAGATACTCGTGTTTGCACAGCAAGACGCAGGACATTCATGAATTTAATTAAATGTAATTGTTTGTGAATTATTTGAACAAACTAGAATTGTTCGTTACTTGTACGTAGCCCATCTAGGATAGGTGATGGTTGTCACAGTAGTGTCTGATAAGAGCTCCTAGTGATAGCCCAATAGAGTTATACCTATTAGAGAGATAGATTTTAGACTGAAACATGGAGAGAATACGCAGGAAAGAACGACGAAGGGCGATTTTCAAACAGGTATATACAGTTTTTCGTGGAAATAAAATTTTCGTAAAATTAAAATAAAATTTTGTTGGTGACTTAATTTAAATTACTCGTAAAGAAGAAATTTTTCAGTAATATACGTGCTGGGTTTCAACAGATAACCTGGAATGGAGACTCATTAACATGTTTGATACGGTTAATTAAATCACAACAAAATATTTAAATTTTATTGAATAGCATTTACCGATTTAAAATAATAATAATATTTAATTACTTAAAACATCAATGGGATATAATTTTTATAAATAAAATTAAACCTAAAGTAGTAAAATAAAAGTAAAAGTATTTAAGTATTTAAGTAGTTATGTAAGTTTTTCGTGGAAATAAATTTTACTTACGATAATTTAAAATTTCGTTGGTGATTTAATATAAATTCTTGATAAAAAAATTAATTTTCGAAAAAGATTTAATTTTTATCCTAATTCAATATCCTGGATGAGAAAACATCTTACAGTGATATTTGTGTTAATTTGAACTATTAAATTCTTATGGTTAAATCATTGAAAACTAAATATTTTAATTGTATTAAAGTGCTTTTTAAGAATGTTACAAGTAGTTAAAACATCAATCAGACACATTTTGTAATAATAAAATGAAACTTAAAATAGTAAAATGATTCACGTAGAGAAAAAACGACAAAACTCTATTATCAATCAGGCGTCTTTAGTTCATCGTGAAAATAAATATTACTTCATTTAAAATAAAATTTTGTTAGTGTCTTAATTTAAATTCTGGTGAAGTAGACATGCTAAAGTGATTTTTAATAAATAATTTTGACAATTTTACCAATTAAATTATTCATAAATTATCCAAAATTAATATTTTGAAACGTTTTTTTCTGATTAAGAGCCTCACGAATAACTTCAAAAATATTTGTATGCTGATATTAAAATATTAAACAGATTTATATTTTAATATTTAAAATAAAATCTAAAATAGTAAAAAATCTAAATGAAACTATTAAATTCTTACGATTAAATGATCTAAAACAAATTAAATAAATTTGTTTCACTTCTTTGCGTTTCTTAAAATATCACTCAAACGCATATCTTATAATTAAAATAAAACCTTAAATAGTAAAACGAAGACATAGAAAGTAGAGACGAAATTAATATTTTCAACTTAGTTTTTCCGGGAAATAAATTTTACTTATTTTAAAATACTTTTTTTCTGGTATCTTAATTTAAATTTTTGTCAAAAAAGAATTCTTACAGTAAATTACGTTTTGAGTTTGAAAAGATAAATTAAAATAATAAAATATAAAATTATCGAAAATCTGAATATTTTAATTTTATTGAATCGCTCAGTTCTGATATCATACAATACATGACTTTCTAATCGTTAATATAAACAGTAGCTAATTGTGAAAATAATTTGCTAATTAGTAATATAAAAAAATTAAATAAACTAATAAAGTCTGCATACTTTTTTTAATCAAAGTAATATTTAAATCTAAATAGACTTGGTTATAATATTTATATAATAAAATGTGTAAATCTGTAAATGTGATTTTCCGGATAGTAATATTCTAAATGTCCTCATAATAGTATTTTAAAAATATATCATTTGTAATTAGTATTATTTTTCTTTTATTTACATTAACAACTAGGAACGTTGGAATAACAAAAATGTCAGTTTTAGTGTTATTCAGTGAAACAAAAATGTTAGAAAATAAATGAAGAAAATTATCAAAATACGCGAATTATAAATTAAATAAAGTAATTACGGTTTATTTTTATTAATATAATTTCAATATTGTACTACTTATATAAGTTGTTTTATAGTAATACAAAACCAAATTTTTCTTTTGATAATCTTTTTCATCTGGCGATGTGAATGGACAAATTTCCGATGCCTTACTTGCTTTAGAATTTTTTTAGTATAGTAATTTTTATCAGTATATGCAATATATTAATAAAAAAATTTTTTTTTTTCAATAATGTGATTTCTTGGTCATTATATAACAGTTTATATGCGAAACAAGAAGACTGCATCACTTGCATTATAGAGCTATAATTTATTAACCTCTCTACTACAAAAACAACTGCGGTGATAAAATTTAATAATTTTTTTCCTTGTAAAAATAGTGACAAAACCGCGACTTACTCGTATATAAGAGTATTACAAGACTATGCTTTAATTTGGTTTCAAATGCTAATTAGTAGTTTTAAAAAAAGTATTAAAATTCATTGTTAATGAATAATATGAATAAAATACTAAATATAAACTAAATGCCTAATATATTTTCCTAAAAATGTATATAGATCCTCTTCTTATCCTTAAATCATTTTATTTAAATCAACTCTTAATTTTAGTTCTGCTTTTAAAGTCAGCATGATAATGAAAATACAATAAAACATGGATCCTAAATCGTATTAATTATAATTACCTAATAAAAGTAAATAAATCAAGTACGTCTGATATTAAAATTATATCTTCGATTATTTGCTCCACTAATCCATAAAAATTAAAGAGTTTTTAAGTAAATATATTGATTATAATTAAATATATAAATTAAATCATGTAACATTTGCTTAAGATTAGCAAAACAAATAAAATTAGTCAAGAAGTCAAATGAAAATTTAAGGTCAACACACCATATGTTATATTTGTATATAAGCATATATATTAGCAATTCAAATAAATTCAATGAATGTATTGACTTATGAAATTCAATCTTTAAATAAATTTAATTTTCCAAAGAGTCAATGTGTGTTCAGTATTTTTAAATACATATACACAATAAAAACTATAAAATTTATTTTATTATCATTATATCAGGTTCCTTTGTTTATAATTTTTTCGGTAAAATTGTAACAATAATTTATTTAATTTTTTAAAATTACTGAACTAATCCCATTTTAATCTATATGAGATGAATAAATTATTTTAAATAATTTTACTCGAAATGAATTTATATAACTAAAAGAGTACACATATTTATTTGATTATTATTACACATAACGCCATTTCGAAATTTGTCATTTTATAAAACCACGGAATAATTTGTAAAATAAAATGAAGATTCATGATTATTAATTAATCTAATTATTTATTGAAATTGAAGTCGTTGATCTTGTTATCGCAATACATGTAATGGAAGATTTGTTTAATAAATTGAATGTATAATAAAGTCTTCATAAATATCTTATAAGAACAAAAGAGAGTAATTGGCATGTTTATTTTGTTTTAAAACATCTGTGAAATACTTATTGTAAATGACAATAATATTTGAGATTTAAACATAAACCTGTAAAGCTAATAGAGAGATCACACCTGAACCGATTTCATATGAAAATGTAATTAACCTCAATATATTTGTGTATTTTAATAAATGTAGAAAGTTTTTGATAATTTGTATTGCATTTATTGTAAATTTTCACGCTTTTACAATGAAAATTAGAAAAAAAAATTATAGAGTAAATGCCCAATTTGATCTTTCTTCACATTGACTTTCAAAATCAATAAATCAATTTTCTTCATAAAATATAAAAAAGAAGCTCTATTATTCTATCTGTAGTTTTTATATTCCAAATATGATAATCTATAAATCATAGAAATGCATTACATTAATAAAATGTAGGGAAAGTCCCGTAACGCCGGACGGCACCAAGCATCGGACACTCTATTTAACACGTATTATTTAAGCAAGTATAATTTTTTTCATTTCAAAATACAAGTCTAACATAAATCATAATTTAATAAACATTTCGTAAAATATTTTTTGATTTCTTTATAAATAACCTTAGGTGTCCGCCACTAGAGGACTTCCCCCTAAATAATATAACAAAAAGTTTCTAATATTAAGCGATTCTTCATGTAAGCATTTAATTATTACTTTAAAACATATTGATAAAATAACAAAAAGTTTCTAATACTAAATGATCTTTCATTTAATTTAATTACCTATTAGAACCTTACGTTTATACATTGTTTTTATATGTTTTCTAATTATTAACGATGTTATTCAATAAGTCATTGCATAATAGATAAATTATAGTATTTAATATTGAACTTTGTTTCTTCGTACTTTCTAAGTTCATTATTATCAATTTTAACGCATAAACTTCTTTCATTTTCATTTTTTTAAATTTTTTTTTAAATCAATTTTTTAATTTAATTTAAGGTTTGTCGAATTCTGACAACCTTCATATAAATATAGGCGCAGTTATATGAATCTACAATATTACTGCAACAATAAGCAATCGTGCTCTGTATAACTACATCCGTCCAATTTATTTAAATGTATATACGTAATATCTATGTCATTGTGAATTTTATATGAAAATGCACCTTATCATTTATTTGGTAACAGTTCAAGGAGGATATTAAAAATCAGCTGTGCGATGACGCATAGATCATGTTTTATTTATATTTTATTGTTTTGGTTTAAGATAAAACCGTGAACTTGTGACTAATCAAATTATAGAAACAATTGCAGTTGTAAGGATAACAATTGATATAGAAAGTAGGGAAAATTTTTATTTTTTCTTATATTTTTTTAAGAAAATAAGATTAAAATGCCACTTGCCAAGCGACTTCAAATAAAACACTAGATGATTATTTACATGTTCAATGATGAGATCTGAATAGAATTAACTAAATTTATCTTTTCGTTTTCTATAAGAGCTTTTGTAAATTATGATATTGGCTAATCAATTTATTTTTAATAAATGTACATGGTCAATGATGAGTGAATTCTATATATTATATTTTTTAAATTCTAACTCTTTTCTCTTTAAAACAATATGAAAACCTACTAGACAACTAATTTACACCTCAAAAAGAAAATGATTAACCAATATCATAGTTTAGTTTATTCTATTTTCCTATTTAGATCTCATCATTGAATATGTACATCTATTAAAAAGGAATTGATCAACTAATATCAAAATTTACAAAAGCTCTTGAAGAAAACTTTAGATAATTCTGTCTAAAGCTCATCAATTGAACTTACAAATAAAATAATCTGCTAATCGATTATTAGAAAAGAAATTGATTGACCATTATCAATGCACAAAATGCGAAATAATGCAAAAAAACGTATAGATAAATTTAGATAATCCTATTTAGATGTTTTCATAGAGCGTTGATAATCATTTTGCCATTAAATTTAAATAATCATTATCCATTGAAAGATTTTCATACAGATTAATTATCAAATATGTTATTTAGTATAAGACGGCTTTACCATGTCTATGTGGCAAGAGCTTTGGCTGTGCAACCCAAGGTTCCAAGTTCGATTCCTATATCGAATCACCTGATATCAAGCAGTATTATTTCTAATATTTTATCTAATTCTATATCTAAATAAAATATTTTCCAAGTTTAAAAACCCTTTCCTAAGAATTGTTGCATCAAACTTAGAGTCATCAATATTAAAAAAGTTTTAATAAAAAAAATATCGAACGGAGATGGGCCAACCATTGGGTTACCTTCTAAAAAGTTACTTTTCTAAGAAGAGTGTCATTTTATACTATGGCATGAGTGGTAATGTCGCAAGTATGCCTAAATCTTAGCTCTAGAGTCTTTCTTTGAACATATTATTTCACAATTAATAATATTGAATACATATAATATTTGTATATATTTAAATAAGCTTATGCTGTAAAATATACAAAAATCATATATTAGTGTTGTGTTGTAATATGTATAATTTGGATAGTTGGAGATGAGGGAACAGAATTGATTAGAAAGTTCCAAGGGCTTTCTTTAAAAAATGTATTGGTGGACGCAATTATAGATCTGAGTTTTAAATTGGCGTAATAGACAACAAAACTTTTTATTTTTGACAATAATTCATTTTTTTCTTTCCAGCTATGGTTGACCCTTGCAGTTTCAATGGCCTTTCTAGGAATTGGCTTAGTTCGCGGTTATTCCGCTTCGGCGCTACCGTCACTGAGAGATTTGTCTCCTCATTTAATTCCTGATAACGAGGCATTATCTTGGGCAGGTAATTAGTAATTAAATATGATAATAATGCCAAATGAGGTAAATAGTGAGGTCCGTTAAAAACCAGAACTTCATATAAAATATTCGGTAATATCAAGATAAAAAAAACAATGAGAAGTGATGTCTTACATATTTAATTATAGAATATACTTATTCAAACTCATTCATACAATTAGCTAAAAAATCAAATAAATCAATAAAAAACTAGTTGGTTTGGTATTTAGCCTTGAGGCAAGTTACATGAACTTCCCGATATGTGTAATTAATCGACTTAATCAATAAAAAATAATTTAATTTATGAGTGATTAGAAGTATTCCGAGTGGATTTATTACACATGATTGAAAACGAACGAACACTTTGACTCGGAGTATTTTCTAATAGCAAATTTTCAAAAATCACCAGTTTTCATAATTGAACCAGTTTCCATAGGACTTTAATGATTTAGTATGTTCATTAAAACCAAGTATTCTATCGTTATACCAAGTAAATCGTCTAATTTTAATTTTAACAAACGTCAAAAAAATACTCATTTTCTTAATCTTTGATTAATTTTTAAAATTAAACTAAATGTCGTAAGGCCGTGATATTTCAATAAGTTGTATAAGACCGTGATATATATCGCCAAAAAAAGTTCCATAAAAATCGGCTTAAATTTTTTTTTCAACAGTTAATTACAAGAAAACGGCTCGGTAGATTTTCACCTAAAACTAATCAGTATCATTCCCAACTAATATCTTACGAACAGTTTTTGATTTTTTTAAATCAATTCGGTAGTTTGAGCTTAAATGTGGACGAAAAGTTTAACACTTTTTTTCAAATTACAAAGAAACGGTTTGGCAGATCGTCTCACATAACTGACAAACAATAGTCCTCTTTGAGATAAATTTCTGAAATCGGTTCAGGCGTTTTTGAGAAAACGTCGATCAAAGGTCTAATTTTGACAAATGCCAAAAGAACGATACTAATTTTTGCAAACTTTGATGAATTTTTAAAGCTAAACGAGTTGTCGTAGGGCCGTAATATTTTAGTATAATCTAGAAGACTATGGTATCTACCGTCAAAAAAATAATAATAAAAATCGTCGATTTTTTTTTTTAAATCTTTATTACAAGAAAACGGCCCGATCGATCTTTACCAAAAACTAATCAGCACGATTCCCAACCAATATCTTTCGAACGGTTTTTCGAACGACGCAGCCGATCGTCACACAAAACTCAGAAACGCTAGTCCTCATCGAAATACATCGAATGGCTTTTAAATTTTTGAAATCGGCCCATACGTTTTTGAGAAAACGTCGATTTACGGCAAAAAATATGTTCACATACACGCGCACACACACACACACACACACACACACATACACACACACACATACTTTTTCCAAATTTGGTCTCATTCGATTCAGAATGGCTTGAAACGTCGAGAAAACATAAAATTAGCGAATCGGATTTTTTTATGAAAACATAAACTTCTCCTTCGGGAAGTTAAAAATATTTTCAGTTTTCAAATGTAATAGCTTAGCAGCATATTTTCAAATATCTTTTCTTTAAACTCATGTGATCCTTCTTCTCTGTCCTCTTTATGTATGTGATCTTTCTCTATCTTTCTTAATTATATTTTCTTCAAACTCATGTGATCCTTCTTTTCTGTCCTTTTTATGCATGTGATTCTTTTTATGCATGTGATCCTTTTTATGCATGTGATCCTTTTTATGCATATAATCCACCCTGTCTTTTTTACTTATATTTTCTTCAAACTCAGATGATCTGTCTTTATTATATGTAATCATTTTTTAGGTTCCGTTCCCCCTTTGGGTGCCCTGATCGGTTCTCTTCTGTCAGCACCTCTAATGCAAAAACTTGGTCTTCGGCGAACATTGATGATTTCATCACCACTTTGGGTTGGCAGTTGGGTTCTAATTGCATTAGCTACTGCGCCGTGGATGTTAATTGTTGGCAGATTTCTAACCGGTTTAATGGTCGGTGTCGTACTTCCGTGTGCCCAAATTTACGTAAGTAAATTTAATGTACATAATATATATTAAATACCGTCAACCATTTTTATATCAAAATTAGCAAGGAGATGCTCCAACTTAATTAACTGTAGTTTTGATATAAACTTTTGGTACAAAAATTTTAGTTTTAACTCTTGATGTTACATATTTAGATGGCTAGCCATAAATTATTAAAAGGAAGATCACACGGTTTATTGTAAAATAAAATGTATGTTTTTATAAATTAAGATAATTAATAAGAGATTCATTATTATTATTAATTAAATTATTAATAAAATATATAATTAGCAATATTATATCGCTACCACCTCAGCAATACAATAATGCTAATTATATCTTTCATTTTTAATTTGTTAGATTATCAAAACATACATTTTATTTTACAATAAACCGTGTGATCTTTTTTTTAATAATTTATGACTAATCTAATTATCTAATTATCTGTCACCCACATCACTTTCCCATCAGTGATGTAGTCACAAAAGAGTAGTATGTTTATAATCAAAATTTACTCAAATAAGAAAATATATTATTATATTTTGGCAAATACTTTTATTAAAATTAATTAAATTATTGAAATTTTTTTCGATTACAAGTTTTAAGAATAATTAGGTAGAATTGAAAATAGAACAATAAAATCCATATCTGATTATAGACATACAAATGTAAATATATAAATATATTATGTTTTTTCTGTAAATTATTATTCATTTAGCCGATTTTGCCGAAAAGTCGAAAAGTTTAAAGCGCCTCACTGAATAGTAACCAGCATTGCATAACGATACAAGAAATAAGAGATATATTATATATTTGAATGCAAGACAAAAAAAAAATATAACCAAATCCAATTTTTACTAAATAAATAGATCTATTGCATCTCATCAAGTTTATATTAAATAAAAATTCTAACTTTACCCAATGGCAGCATTAAGACATTGGCTTCTAAATTGAATAAATCTAGAAATATCAAATTCATCCATGATTCTAAGACTTTTTTTTCATTTTCTGAAAGTGACTATTATTTGCATTATTTTTGTAACCGTTACATTGATCTATTAGTCTTATTTACCACTTGACAAAACATTAATAGATCTAATTTAATCTCAGTTAATTATTGAAATATTGAAATTAGTGCAACAAAAAATCTGAAGAATCTTTACTATATTAATTATATTAATGACCATGATATAATATCCAAAATTTTCATATAAGTCATTATAACTTCATTAGATAATTTAGTTAAAAATATATCAAGAAAACTTAATCAATGAATTTTTTTGCGAAAATTCCTGGAAAAACACTATTTGAATCACACATATGACTGTCATGGCCCTATATCAAAACTTTTATTCTCTTTCTATCAAATTTTGTATGTTAGATATAGCTCATGTCTATATTTTTAGTGCATTTAGCGCCACAAATGACTGGCACATATAAACGTGGCACAGAGAATTTTGAGAAACAGTCCGTTTTTTACATGTTCACAAAATCGTATAATAATGTTAAAAATGTTTTCACCTGTAGGTTAGCGAATGCTGTTCCCCAGACATTCGAGGAATACTTGGATCTCTTCCTTCACTATTTATGTCTGGGGGAATACTCGTCTCATACATTTTAGGAACTTGGCTACCATGGGACAAATTAGCTTGGAGTTCTGCAATTTGTGTCGGTAAGACAACATCATTGATCGCATCTTTTACTTCAAACTTAACATTTCTTTTTACCTGTTAATATTTCATTCATACATAGGTTTAATTATTCTTGTGGTAATACCTCTTCCGGAATCCCCGGTGTGGCTTGCTGGTCATGGAAAAACTGAAAAAGCTGAACTTTCGCGACAATGGCTGCATTTGGAAGAAAAGAAGAATGACATTTTGATGATAGAAACAAATGGTAAAAACACCAATGTTGAAGCTACGCCAGAAACCAAAACTGAAGAAATCAATAAGTAAGTAAATATTTAAAATAATTCATGAAAAATTATTGTCACGATTGCGATTTTCTTTTTTGTAGGGATAGTAATGATGAAAACGAGAAGGCTTTCTCATGGAAAACTTTAACCAGTAGACCAGTCCTTTGCCCACTTGGTATTGGTTTGGTAGTTTTAGCTTTGCAACAATTCAGCGGTATAGATTCTGTGGTGTTTTACACTGTTGATATATTCAGATCATCAGGTAAAACTATCAATTTTTGCAACAACAAAAACTATATTATTTTCTATGCTTCGTTTAACTGACATCTTTTATCAATTTAAGGTTCCTCTCTGGATGGACACATAGCAACAATTCTCGTAGGTCTTGTGCAATTAATATGCAATGGTCTATCATTGTTGTTAATCGATAGAGCTGGAAGAAAACCTCTTTTGATAGGTTCCGGAGCAGTGATGTCCATGGCTATGGCATCTATGGGAGCTGCTTTCTATTTGCATGAACAAGGAAATGATTCATTAGGGTAAAATTAAATGTTCCATTGAAACATAGATCTTTCTAATGTTGGAATAACGCATTTATAAATTATCACCAACTATGCAAAAGCAATTCAGTGAAAGAAATTATTTATCAAGACACTTCTTGCTTGTTGGTTACGTTAGTCTAAGAGGCACTTCTTGCTTGATGGTTAGTTGATCTTAAAAATTCATGCAAGGCAATAATTCTGATATTGCATCTGTGCCAATTTAACATAACATTTAATTTTTTTTTTATTATGTGATGAAATTATATTATCGTATGAAATTGTAAGTTACTTAATAACGTCTGTTTACTTTAGAGATTTAAATTAATAATTTCTATTTTAGGTTCCTACCCTTGGTGAGTTTGGTAGTATTTATGATTGGATTTTCATTCGGATATGGTTGTATACCATTCCTGTTGATTGGCGAGCTGTTCCCAGCAAAACAACGAGCTCTTCTAAGTTCAATTGCAGGCTCGTTCAATTTAGCAGCAATGTTTTTAGTTATTAAAACATATCACATGTTACAAGTAAGTAGAAGTAGTAAAATTTTTTATTGAAACACTGATCGAAAAAAAACAATTAAAAATGATAACGGTGCTAGTAACTTTGTTACAACCTTTTGTAAGCACTTCCAGTGCACACGATTGCATCCCTTCGCCATTTTCACCTCAATGTTTAATATGTAGACTGGGGTGGGCCTTAATATGGATATTTTTGAATTTCCTTGCTTCCAGAGGCTCAAATGCTTATTTTGATTAATAAAAAAATTACAACAAAAATTTGATATATTTCATAAACTAAGTATTTACTTAGGAAGAAGAACCAAGAAATTTTGGTTGGAAAGTTAGAGTTATTAATAAGAGCTAAAACTTTCAGAGAATTTTTTTTACAATTTGGAAGCTTTTGAGACCCTTGGAGCAAGGAAATTCAAAAATGTCCATATTAAGGACCACCCTAATGTAGACTCATACTTCTGATAAGTATTTTTGACTTTAAAATCCTCCTTAAATCCTTGAATATTGCTAAAAGCTAAAACTTTCAGAGAATTTTTTTTACAATTTGGAAGCTTTTGAGCCCCTTGGAGCAAGGAAATTCAAAAACGTCCATATTAAGAACCACCCTAATGTAGACTCGTGCTTCTGATAAGTATTTTTGACTTTAAAATCCTCCTTAAATCCTTGAATATTTTCAGAGCCAAAACCGGCAGCATACATTTGATTCAGTATGCAAAATAAGTGTTCTCAAATAATAAACCTCATTTTTTAAATATCTTTTTGAAAGCTCTTATTCAAGAGTATTTTTGATGATGTTTACAATACTTGATACTAAAAATAATTTTAGTTTAGCAGAAAACATAACTTTCTGACTTAGTGACTTATTTTCATGTGCAATTACTACTATCATTCCAATGAATAAATTTTGTAATTGGTTAGCTGACCTCTTCACTTTTCTATTCAATACTGCATATCAATTTACGTTACAGTCTTTTAATTTACGTTTGTAAGCATTTTGTATAATCCTTTCAAATTATTTTAATTATTTTAGTTGTAATTTTAACATTTTCAAAACAAATAATTTTTCTATGATAAATAATGTATTGTATTTTACAGGATATTTTAACATCAGCTGGAACATTTTGGCTATATTCTATCCTATGCGCTTCAAGTATTCTGTTTGTGATATTTTGCGTTCCTGAGACAAAAGGAAAGTCATTGGAAGAAATTGAAAGACGATTCCAGAAAAAAACACCAGTACCTCAAAATGATTCTGATTCAAATCATAAGGTCGCAGAAAAGAATGAAAAAACCAAATTGTAATAAAATTTTGATTTTTTAGGCTAAATATTTTGTTTTTTTAGAAAATAATTACAATATAAACGCGTAGATTAGGCTATAAATTTGCAATGGTACTTATAATGAAATACACATGCCATCAAAGTTATGCATAATTTTACTGAATTAATTACTAGGCATTAATTTATTTTATCAAACATAAAGTAAATTAATTTCAGTAAAAAATCAGTATATTCCGGTATTTTCACATTTTTTCTTTCAAGAGAAATATTGCAACCAATAAATCAAATCAATTATTTTGATTCCAAAAATTTTCTTTTATACTCTTAATAATTTCACTTAATATTTATATTCATCAATTTTACAATTTATTTTTAGGATTAATTGTACAATGACAAAATGTGTATTTCATTTGTGTGAATTTATATGAGACATGACATGTATGTACGGAATTAGATGACTTTTAAGTAATACATCTTTGCTCTCATAAAATTTTACGAAAAGTAAAATATTTGCCATCTTGTACAACTCTATTAAGCATAATGTATATACGAAATTAGATGACTTTTATGTAAATACATTTATGCCATCAATATATTTTTATAATTGTAAATAGATTTAAAGAAAAATAAATATTTTGCATGCAAGTGCAGAATAATAGACGTTATTTATATAGTATGCAAAATTGATTCTGTGATTAATTATTTTACTATAAATATTTTATTCTCGTTTTCCTCCATTATTTCAATATGTTATTAAATGATTACACAATTAAAAAGTTTAAATTTATGGAGTTGAATTCGAAAATCTAAGTTTTAGATAAATTGTTGATTGATGTTTAAACATGATGTATATACGAAATAAGATGACTTTTATGTAAATACATTATGATTATTTATATGCTGTTTTATTATGAACGTACTACAAAAGATATACTTTTTTTTCTGTACAATTATGTACAATTATGTACATGTGGTTAATGCTGGAACGATGATAGAATTATCATCATTGTATACTTCGCAGAAGATTTGGATTTTCTTCGAAACTACTCAAAAGCTTTTTGTTAAAAAATATTTATAAATGCCTCAAACCAAATACCCAAAATAATACAAAAAAGATATATTGTATATTCTACGAAAAGTTGTCATGAAAACTTAGTCAAATAGTTGACTTTTTATAAAGTAATTTTTAAATATTCAGTATCCTCACAATAAAAATGAAAATATATTTACGATAATTAAGCACACGTAGAATATTTTACAAAATCGATTTTTAAAAAAAACCTGTGGCCATCCTGTAGCATATTAAAACAAAATATTTTGTTTAAAGTTGTAACATATTATTTTTTTAATTTTTAGCTTGAAACCAATACTTCTTTCTATATACGATGATTTCTAGTCGATTCATTATTTATTCTAAATATTTTTCAATATATGATGACACCAAAGTTTATTATCTTTTATTCTTAGAAAATTGAGATGAATCATACAATCTTGTTATTCTAATCAAATTTTGTTTATACTTCATCTCTCAAATAAATAATATTACATAACAATAAATATAAAAATATATGAGGATATATGTATGTATAATAATCAAATCAATTGTGGTATGAATTTAGTTCATTTATTTGTTAGACTTTTACTTAAAATATGTTTATTAGTAAATAATAGTAATTAAATATATAACATTATTTGAAATAATGCTGATGATAATATAAGCACAGAAAAATTAAAATTAGGGTAGGGAGAGTACAAAGGTCCAATTTGACTTTCAGTAATATTAATGTCTAAACTAAATAAACATGACAACACAAAACATGTATAAAATAAAAAATCTATCGAAGAATGCTCAGTGAAATTCCCAATTGTCTCTTAATTATAGAAATGTGCTTTTTACTATTTTTCTAAAAGTTATCATCTGTCCCATTTTACCTAATCGGCGGGGCAAGAAGGGACAGCCAGAATACAATAAGATCCAACGTCCATCTTGATTTTAAATGGATTAATAGTATAATTAAAAATTTCTATACTTTGCTTGTTTTGAAGGCCTGCTTTATCTTACATATAAAAAATAATTATCTTAAGTAAAAGTCGTTTGTTTATAAACATTTTGAAACAGTTATTACAATTTTGGAATATTTTCAAATCGTTATTATAAAACAAAATATGAATAATTTTGTCAAAGATACTTCTAAATGTTTGATATTTTGGTTTTATATTTTACAAATATTTGGTAACAACACTTCATAAATCAATCATCGAGAAACAAAATTTTTTGTACAAAATATAAGAAAAAATCCTAATGAACCATTTGTTTTGTTCATTATAAAACGTAAAAACAATTGGCAGCATGCCTGTTTTAAATTACTCCAAATTAAACAACCTCATAAGAGTTTCACAATAGAACAGCTGTAGGCTGTATAATTATACTAATAGAAAAACCAATATTCATAATTCGGATCTGTTAAATTTTCCAATTTATAGAATTTTTCTGCCAAGAACACTCGCTATCGAATAAATATAAATATTTTGTTCTTGAGCAATATAATTAGTTTGATAATTGTGTTTTATCAGAAGCTCATTATGAAAGCTATAAAAGAAAATTTATCAAGACGGTTGGCAGTTGAGAGTAGCTGATTCATTCGTGGTTCAACCTTCAACGTGATCACAGCTAAGAAACATCACAGTTTTAATTTGTGATTTTTTTAAGTGAAAGTGTTTAAAGTTTAACGGTAAGATTTAAAAAAAATAAAAACAGTAAATTTGGAGTTAATTTCAATTTTTGTTAATTTAAAAAAGTGTGAATCTTTTTAGTGGCATTATTAAACATTACTATTGTGATCATTACTTACTTGTGATTAATAGCAAAATAAAAAAATAAAAAGGGTGTAAATCAAATAAATTTAATAAATTAAATAATTAAAATAAATTTAAAAAAATATGAAAATGTAAAATAATTTCAATTTGATAGCATCTAAATTACTTAAATTTTAAAACAATATCAAAATAATAAAATAATATTATGGTGCAAAAGTTATAAGTGAATCCCTATTTTTGAATAAATAATACATTCCCAAATATGTACCCTGTATAAACATTTTCATGCTTATGATTATGCTTATGCAATTATCCAATACTCAAAGCAATTAAATTTTTTCATGATTAGTACTTACCGATAATAATTATAAATATTTTAGCTATATTAAGTATTCGACCCTCATCATTTTCAATTCCCTTATCTAATTAAGAATTTAAAATTTAGCGGTAAGATTTTTAAATCTAGATCTAAAAAATAATATAAGATAATTTGGTGTTATTTTAAATTTCTGTTAGTTTGAAAAGTGCGAATATTTCGGTGCTATTAGTAAAATATTTGAATATGTACTTGCGATTAATATCATAGAATAATATAAAAAAATAAAACAAAGTGTAAATTAAAAAACAAAAATTATTATCGGGTTTTAGATAGATCATAATATGTAAAATAATATCGCTTTTGAAAGCATCTAAATTATTCAAATTTTAAAACAATATCAAAATATTAAAATAATATTATGGTGCAAAAGTTATAAGTGAATCTCTATTTTTGAATAAATAATACATTATTTATATCCTGCATAAATATTTTCATTCATAGCAATTATCCAATACTCAAAACAATTATATTTTTTATGATGAGTACTTACTGATAATAATTATAAATATTTTTGCAATATTAAAAATAAATTTTAAAAAAATATACGCTTACAGTATTTGACCCCGATCATTTTCAATTCCCTTAGCGTCTAAACTGAACTACCAAAACATATTAACCCGTTCCACTCGGGCTTTTCAAAATTTGTATGTTTTTAGGCGCCGGAGTGGCGGCATCCGAGTGGAAAGGGTTAATACTGAACACTGTAGGTGTACGTATTGCGCGCGGTCTATTTCTAAAAACTTTAATTATTTTTTATAACTAAACCACGTATCATAGGCCTATAATATTTTAAACTGTTCGGTTTGACTATCAACTCTATCATCATGCAAAGTTTTATCAAAATCCCAGAAGAATAAATCTGAAGTTCTCCTTGTTAGTAGTATTTAAATTGTTTTTAATTAGCAATGAATTTCATTTTAAAAATTTTATAGGTACTTTATATGATCTTTCATACCAGACGTCTCTATAATATAATTTTAGTATTATGTAGGCCAAAAATATAAATAATTCCGAACGGATATTATCATTATAATTAAGATAAAATTTTATATAAAAAATTTAAATAAAAATAGTTGGGGTTTGAGATTGTGATTTAAACATATGCTTCTCGAAATAAAATACTAATTAAACTAAATCAAAATTTATTTTTAAAAAATCTTCATACTGTACTTAAATTATTGCAATTATTAAAAATAAAAAAAAATACTTATGGATTTGAATCTATGCTTCTCGAAAAAAATGCTATTTTAGCAAAAACACAAATAATTTTTAAAAAAATCTTTATATTGTGCTTTGAATTATTGCATAATAGTAAAAAATTTTTTACTAATACGTGAGGTCAATAACATGAGTAGAAAAACAAATAAATATTATAGCTATAAGTAAATTAAAAAAGTACTTATAGATTTGAATATATTCTTCTCGTAAAAATGCTAGTTTTGCAAAATCAAAAATGGTTTGAAAAAATCTTTATACTGTGATTTTAATTATAGTATAATAGTAAAAAATATAGAAATTTTACTAATGTCTGAGGCCAACAAATTAGTAAAAAAGTTTATAAAAATTATACTTATAAATAAAATGATAAAAAAATATTTTCTTTATCAAGATTATAAATAAAAATAGTTAAAATTTGAGGTTGTAATTTTGAATATGTGCTGGTCAAAATAAAATGCTAATTCAGCTAAATCAAAAATAGTTTAACCAAAATTTTTAAATATTGTGCTATAAATTATTGCATAATAGTAAAAAATAGTATAATTGAAATTGCTTCGTTTTCTGCCTAACTAGGCAATTATAGACCCAATTCGATTTATGAATTACTGTCTTAACGCTTAAAAAATAGTGAAATAGGTAGCAATAGATATTTTTTTTTAGGTCAAGTAATATTTGATTTATTGCAATAATATATGGGTGGATAGCTATTAAAAAGGTGTGAATCACTATAAATATCAGCAAGTTATCTTTTGATTCCATTTATGAGATTGCATTGTCGAAGACAATAAACTAATCTAATATGCACTTAAATCAATGAGCGCTTGCATAACCATATTTGCAAACAATGCAATTAAAGATTTAAAAATCTTCAAATATATCTCAAGCAATTTTTTGATGAGTTATAAATAATACCGAGATGAAATTTTGCAGAGATGAAATGCACTTAACTGCATTCGCTTTTTTAATTGTGCTTGCTGCAGTTGCACTATAAAGCGACAACGCAGATTTAATCTTGTCCTATTGAATAAGCACGTTTAATCTACTGCCAAAAATCAAACTTTAAATTATATTAAGATTTGTTTCTATAAATATATACTGCATTAGAATAAATTATATGACACGCAAGACATATAATTCGATAATGGTTTTGGCAACTGAAGGGGCCACATATCTGATAGAACTTTTTGTTGCTAAGTGAGATTTAACACTTTTCTTAAGGCACTTAAATAAAAAAACGATCTAAGACTAAAAGATATAAAAAATTTGTATTTAGTTTAATTAATAAATAACACGATAATAATTTTGGCAGCTAAGGGGGCCACATGTTTGATAACACTTTCTGTTGCTAGGGAAGATTGAATTAGTTCTTTTCACCCCTGACTTAATTTAAATAAATCGATATAATACTAAAAAAATAGAGAATGTAAAATTTCTGTATCTAAATTATTGTCGGCTTAAATTTCAAATTATCAGAGATATGCAGCATTTTTCAGAAAGATCCATTAGATAAGCAAATTAAATATTTTGAATTTGACTTATTATGTTCTTTACACGTCCAAGAAAAAAATGTTATTTATTGTTCAATAAATTTTACTGCATGAAGGCAAAAGTTTTGAAATTCATATATAAATATTATATAATGTCATAAATGCCATTTAAAATTTAATCAACGATTATTTAAGATGTATAAATTAAATTACCAAAATTGAGATTTTGATTTTTATTCAAATTAAAACATTGAAAATCTTTTAGCATATTTCACATTATAAATAATTAAACTTTAATAAACATATCAGAATGTTCTACGTTGTATATTGTACTAAGAAAAAAATGATAAATCGATGTACCATCAAATTTAAAAATAAAAATTTAAAAGCATAAGTATGATGTATCAAAGCATTAATATGATTTAAATGATTAATGAAAGCATCTGCTACTTCGTAAATCTTGTAATAATAAATTTTCAAAATCTAATTTTTGTGGTAAGTAAGTTGTGTAATTTCTCAAAATTAAAATAGCCTCTAACCGTTGAAGATTAAAAGAACTGAAAATAGTTATTTTGGAAATGTTTTGACAATGACATGAGCAACAGTAGATAAATTGAGTTCGGCTGACTGTCAAAAAATCTATTACAAGACACACGTGTATATTGATTTTTTTAGAAAAATTTCTTACGAGGAGAACTTCAGGTTTGTGCTTCTGGGATTTTGATAAAACTTTGCATGAAGATAGTGTTCATAGACAACTTAAAGTATAATAGGCCTATGAGTAGTGGTTCAATTAAAAACGTCATTTAATTTTTATAATTAAACCACTTTTTATAGGCTTATAAATAATTTAAGAGGTTCAGTTTGACCAAAAACTCTATCTTCATGCAAAGTTTTATTAAAATCCTAGAAGAATAAAACTGAGGTTACCATTGTTAGTACCAACTGACTTGCTAATTTATATTTTTTTTCCTTGTTTAAAATATAATGATAAATAATCTGAATATAATATTTAATTATCAACACGAAAGTAGAGCATCTTCATTAGAGAGCAATAAAAATGTTACTTAAATTACAGCCCATATTACAAAACTTAAGAGGTTGCCAAACATTGTGGTAACTTCGTAATAAAAATACGACCTGGGAAGCAGTGGATGCGATCGAATTTAGACTAACAACCAATACAAAACGTTCCTAGCTTGAAAACACAAAAAGAATCTTAAAATAACTTTCGTAATAGATTTGTATTAATGACTGAATATTTATAGAAAACTTAACATACCTTGCTCTAGAACAACGGATCTAATAATCATAGAAAAAAAACAGCACCTAAATTAAGAAAATTTTAAATAATATAATTTTTGAATAATCTGCAAGTTTATAAATAGAAGATCATCATCAGTATTTACAGTACCATTTGGTTTGGAAAACTTTAGCCGAAACAAAAAAAATATTTTAAAAAAGTAAAAAATTCAATTATTCAATTATCACATTCAAAATCTCTATATATGACTTACTCTATATAAAGTATTATTTTGATATAACCATTAATAAGATAATATAAAAGTTAATAAGATATAATATAAAAATAAGGGTTATAAAATTCAAAATTGCTCATAAATTTATAGTGTTAATTTATTACTTTGTCTATATGTCAGGAAATTATTATGACTAGGAAACGCAAAGGACAGGTAAAATCTGCAGAATCTGCTGAAGCCAAAAATGATGAAACAAATTCAAATGCATCGACAAATACAGAAAATAGCGACAGTTTGTCAATGAATAAATCTTCAAATTCCGTTGATGAAAATCAGGAAAATACAGATGATACAAAGACCAAAAAGACTCATCGAGGTAGAAGAAAGCAGAATAAGCAAGCAAATGATCCAAAAATTGGTGTTGATGGTAAAGAAGATATCGGTGGTGAAAATCAAGAAGAAAATCAAAAATCAATAAATAAACATTTGCAGTCCGAGCATCCTAATTCTATGGGTAAAACAAAATCTACTGACATTAAACGTGCAACTGAAAAGTCGGGAAAAACAAAAAGATCTGCTCAAAGAAAACCGACTATAGCTGATAGTTTGAAGGCAAACGCTTGCTCCAAAACATCATCAACCGGTAACAAATTATTGGAGCAATATTTCTTCCAATGTTCAGATGAAGAATCTGATGACGATATGGACGAATTTATAGAGTATAAATTGAGACCAAGATCAGTATTTTTAGCAAATGCTTGTAATGTGTGTAAAATAGTTGAATCCAAAACCACAAAACTGAATCCTTGCATGCATTGTGGAATGGTTAGTTATTGTTCTGACGATCACAGGAAACTAGATGTAAAACACAATGAATTCTGCTCGGTTGTTTGTGATGAACGAGATAATAAAGGTATTTATTGTTATTTTAAGATTTTGTTTAAAATTATGGACAATTGATGTTGAATATCGAGAAATGTTGTTTAAGTTCAGTTCAAATTGAAGGCGATTGTCTTCAACGAAAATAATGTGATTGTCTTGAACAATCAAAATTATCATTTTGCTTAAGCTGATACAAAGCTATTAAATAATTTGTTCTGACTCGAATAAATAATAAGAAGCATTTATCTTTGTTTATTATATATTATTATATATATGAAATATAAATAAGAACACACCACATTCTATGTTTTCAATCGTAATAAGTCCATAATTTGTCTCCTCATCAATGTATATTAACAAATTAACACATTTTGTAAGTAAATGATTAATGGAGGTTGTAATTCTAATTTGGAAATCATTGTAGAAACTAGTGGTGCATAATAGCGTGCCTTAAGGCAAATTGCTAGAACTTCCCGTACCAAAAACTAAATTAATAAAAAAAAACTTTGCAAAACTTTGATATAAAATTGATTTTCAAGAAATTTTGAAATTTTTGAATTTTTGAAAAAATTGACTTTTTTGACAAATTTGATTTTTTTTATATTTATATTTAGAATTGAACGCTTTTCAAAGACCATTTCTGGCATTTTTGCCCCGAATCTCCGAAACGTCTAGACCTGCCATTGCCAAAAACTAATCAGCACGTCTCCTTATAAGTAGTAATCAAATGTTTTTTGAATTATTCAAATCTGTTGATCCGTGTTCGCAAAATCGTCGACAAAATTTGTATCCGCACACACCCACACACATACATACACTTTTTCTAAGGTATGCCAAATGTTTAGAAAGCTATGAAACGTAAAGATATATACAAATTTTCATTTTCGATTTTTTTACGATTACTATAACTTACCTTACGGAAAGTTAATAAAATAAATTCAGTTGGTGCTAAAATGTAGAATGTAATGTGTTCTTATTTAAATAATAAACATACCACTGATTCAATAAGAATTTTAGTGATATATTTAAAATTGATTCTATTAATTACTAAAAATAAAATTAATAACATATAGCAAGGCAACCGAATTATTCTGCTAATAGTGCCATATCGTTTTCTTGAAAATATCCGACTAAATGATGTAAATTTTGCTCCAATGTCTATCTGTTTTACGATGTTTGGCATCGAGCCATTTCATGTGTAATATACTATTCCCATCAATCATTCTTACACATGTAACAAATGATACCGATATATAATAAACAGTTTATATTACGATTTCCATAATATAAATATGTAATAAAATTATCAAATATATAATAAAATGAATAAATAATATGCGCGTGTAATAAATATCAACACTTTGACATGATTTCTTGTATAGCTAATCATATTACCTCTATAATTTGTTTTCCTTGTATTAGGTTTTTGGTAAATAGTAATTTGAATATTAGATTGTCGTTGAAAGAAATGCATACACATAAACGAGAAACTAGACTAATTTTTATAATGTAAATAAGTTTTATAAAATGAATCGTTTTTAGGTTTGGAACATATTTATGCCAAAGCCAAAGGACTTACTATGGGCGAATTCAGACATTTAAGAATTCATGAACTTACCATTTGCCAAAATTTGATTGGCAGACAATTGGACGCCAACGAAAGGGAAATCTTGCTGTTTCCAAGATTGTGCTTCGATCCTCAATGTAGAGAATGGAAACATGATTTGTTAATGAATTGTCCAGAATGTAAACAAGTAAAAATGAAATAGTAATGTTATTGAGTTAATTTTCTATTTTTAAGATTTTTGAGATAAACTTCTCAATGCCTCATGAAGATTAGCAAATAGTTACAACAATACTATTTATTCTAATTGAATTAATACATATGTATACCAAAAAAAAATATTGTAAGAAAGCAACTAATTTTGTTCCTTTCCATTGAAATTTTTTGTATTCAACAAGACAAGTTTAGGTAAAATCCTATTTTTTTGTTTTATACCGTCATAGCACTAGGATTTTCACATTGGTACATTTATAAAAAAAAATGAGTAAAAATAATTCTTGAGAAGAAAAAACACTTCTGTGTTTAGAAGTTAGTTAGTTAGAAAGCTTCTTTATAGCCACAGAAAATTTTCAAACTATTTTACATTAAACTATGAATAATTTTTTACTCCATTACTCTCTTAAGAAAGTTTTGAAATGGTATTAATATAAATGACAAAAATAATAATATTATAATCTATTATTTCAGGTCAGTTACTGCAAGAAAAATCCTGAGCATTTGCCAGTGGAGCATATGACATGGTGTAAGCAATTTAAATTATTCCAAGAAATTATGGCCAGATTGCAAAGGCAAGAAAATATTGATCCTGCATTACCAGTAAAGATATACTTGACTCAATTTTTCCTGCCTGATGATATTAAGATTTTCTTTAAGGAAATTGGCAGTAAAGGTAAATGATGTCAATTTTGAAAGACCAATTCTAGACCTGTATTTTATAATAAGTAAGCAACATGCAATAGTAAGGGGGCGTCTATTAATCACGTGATCGATTTTTTAAAGATTTTTTGACCCCTCTCCCCCTTAGTCATTTTCAAAATCACTCCACAAATCACGTGTATTTTTAGTTACGAGAAAATTTTTTAATTTTTTTTAACTTCCCGAAGGAGAAGTTTATGTTTTCATAAAAAAATCCGATTCGCTAATTTTATGTTTTCTCGACGTTTCAAGCCATTCTGAATCGAATGAGACCAAATTTGGAAAAAGTATGTGTGTGTGTGTGTGTGTGTGTGTGTGTGCGTGTGCACCAACAGATTTTTCGCCGTAAAACGCCGTTTTCTCAAAAACGGCTGGACCGATTTCAAAAATTTAAAAGCCATTCGATGTATCTCGATGAGGACTATTGTTTGTCAGTTTTGTGCGACAATCGGCCAAACCGTTTCTTCGTAAATAGCAGAGAAGTGAAAACTCTTTCGTCCACGTTTTAGCCCGCAGTTATGAATCGATTTTGAAAATTCAAAAATCGTTCGAAAGATATTGATTGGGAATCGTGCTGATTAGTTTTTGGTAGAGATCGGCCGGGCCGTTTTCTTGTAATAAAGTTTTTAAAAAAAAAATTTCGACGATTTTTATGATTATTTTTTTGACGGTAGATACCATAGTCTTCTAGATCATACTAAAATATTACGGCCCTACGACAACTGGTTCAGCTTTAAAAATTCGTCAAAGTTTGCAAAAATTGGTATTGTTTTTTTGGCATTTGTCAAAGTTAGACCTTTGATCGACGTTTTCTCAAAAACGCCTGAGCCGATTTTAGAAATTTAAAAGCTATTTGATGTATTTTGGTGAGGACTATCGTTTGTCAGTTTTGTGTGACGATCGGCCAAGCCGTTTCTTTGCAATTTGAAAAAAAGTGTTAAACTTTTCGTCCACATTTAAGCTCATCCTACCGAACCGATTTTAAAAAATCGAAAATTGTTCGAAAGATATTAGTTGGGACTGGTACTGATTAATTTTAGGTGAAAATCTACCGAGCCATTTTCTTGTAATTAACTGCTGAAAAAAAGTGTTAAATTTTCGTCCACATTTAAGCTCATCCTACCGAACCGATTTTGAAAAATCAAAAACTGTTCGAAAGATATCATTTGGGAATGATGCTGATTAATTTTAGATGAAAATCTACCGAGCCGTTTTCTTGTAATTAACTGTTGAAAAAAAGTGTTAAATTTTCGTCCACATTTAAGCTCATCCTACCGAACCGATTTTGAAAAATCAAAAACTGTTCGAAAGATATCATTTGGGAATGATGCTGATTAATTTTAGGTGAAAATCTACCGAGCCGTTTTCTTGTAATTAACTGTTGAAAAAAAGTGTTAAATTTTCGTCCACATTTAAGCTCATCCTACCGAACCGATTTTGAAAAATCAAAAACTATTCGAAAGATATCATTTGGAAATGATGCTGATTAATTTTAGGTGAAAATCTACCGAGCCGTTTTCTTGTGATTAACTGTTGAGAAAAAGTGTTAAATTTTCGTCCACATTTAAGCTCATCCTACCGAACCGATTTTGAAAAATCAAAAACTGTTCGAAAGATATCATTTGGGAATGATGCTGATTAATTTTAGGTGAAAATCTACCGAGCCGTTTTCTTGTAATTAACTGTTGAAAAAAAGTGTTAAATTTTCGTCCACATTTAAGCTCATCCTACCGAACCGATTTTGAAAATTCAAAAACTGTTCGAAAGATATCATTTGGGAATGATGCTGATTAATTTTAGGTGAAAATCTACCGAGCCGTTTTCTTGTAATTAACTGTTGAAAAAAAGTGTTAAATTTTCGTCCACATTTAAGCTCATCCTACCGAACCGATTTTGAAAAATCAAAAACTGTTCGAAAGATATCATTTGGGAATGATGCTGATTAATTTTAGGTGAAAATCTACCGAGCCGTTTTCTTGTAATTAACTGTTGAAAAAAAGTGTTAAATTTTCGTCCACATTTAAGCTCATCCTACCGAACCGATTTTGAAAAATCAAAAACTGTTCGAAAGATATCATTTGGGAATGATGCTGATTAATTTTAGGTGGAAATCTACCGAGCCGTTTTCTTGTAATTAACTGTTGAAAAAAAGTGTTAAATTTTCGTCCACATTTAAGCTCATCCTACCGAACCGATTTTGAAAAATCAAAAACTGTTCGAAAGATATCATTTGGAAATGATGCTGATTAATTTTAGGTAAAAATCTACCGAGCCGTTTTCTTGTAATGAACTGTTAAAAAAAAAAATTAAGCCGATTTTCATGGAACTTTTTTTGGCGATATACATCATGGTCTTACTACAAGTAGTTCAATTTTAAAAATTCATCAAAGTTTGAAAAATACTAGTAACGCTTTTCAGTCAAAATTAGACCTTCATCGACGTTTTCCCATAAACTACTAAACTGATTAGAAAAATTTAAAATTTAGGAAAAAGATAAAAATGTTTGTCCACGGCTCAGCTCACAACACTGAATCCATTTTGAAAATTTAACATAAAATAAAAAAATATTGTGAAACGCAGATCAAGTTGCTTATTTTAAAGTTTATAGAATAAAAAATTTTTGTGAAACACACATAAAATTGCTTATTCTAAAGTCGGATTGAATTAGTATATTATTTACACATTTCGGGAAGTTCATGCAACTTGCCTTAAGGCTAAATGCACCTTCAACTAGTTTTGGATTTTTTTAGGTAAAAAATAAATACACGTGATATCTTACTACTTCTCACTCTCGCGTGATATTTCGTGAATTTTTGTCAAACCTGCACCCCCCTTTCCCCTACAAACCTCACGTGATCAACAGACGCCCCTAACGATTTTTTTCGTTCTATTGAAAGTGAAAATGCATTTAATTTGGTCGCATATTGTACTCAATTATTAATATCAATTATATTATTCTGCTAGAGAACAACACAACGTATTAGACAAAATTAATTTGTAGAAAAACTTATTATTAGTAAAATCCACGCAGCTTTGCTTATTATCATAATCTCAAATCACTTAAAAAAATACTTCAGTCAGAAATTGCAAGATTTTGCCTAAAAATATAATGGAAAATGGAAGTAATCTTTCTTTCGACTATATAGCTATTTTGTGAATGTCATTAATCATTATCATTAATCTATAAATATATTTTAAATTTTTTACCGCGTATTTAAATTTCGATATGACAAAAGAAAAGTTACTCTAAATCAACCAAACAAGTACAATATAATACTACATCTTCTACAAAGCACATTGGTATTATATTCGGAATTAAATTGCGAATCAAAACACCTATTTAGTAGTATAGAGTTATTTTGTTATTCCGATTACTATTCGTATTTCCAATACAAGTTCTCCAAGTTGTGCATAGCAAAGAAATCGTTTGTTAATTATTTATAATAATAAATTACAAACCTCAAATACCGGTGTGTTAATTAGGTTAAACTTGGCTTTGTATTAATACAAAATATTATTGTTATGTATTCACAGCCAATGACGAATGCGATATGGCGTTTTTAAGTCTCATAGCAACGGGCCCATTGACAGTGCTGTACTCGATGCAAAAAATCAATATGAAAATTCAATCCAACGTTTTTAGTATTCATATAGTTGGAGCAGAACTTCAATTCGAAGCAGATACTTTGAATAAATGGGAGTGCTTTTTCCTTCATTTGGTACCACAAATTGATGTACTCAATATTGTTTTTGTTGGACCGGAATTGAATGTTGAAAATCTACCAGTAGAACTTCTGGGTAGAATAAGGTAAACGAATTTTGATTTTTTTTAATTTTTTATACTGATTAATTTTTTTTTGTTTTAGGATGTGTCCAAATTGCGAAGTAACAAATCGAAAGGTTGTTTTTCAATTTCAGTGCAAGACACTGTATCATGAATATGCAAAATCAGATGCATTTTCAAAACCTGATATGGGTAAATTTCTAAAATTTGTGTAACATTTGTCTTAAGTTAAATTATAATTATTATCATAAATTAATATTTTATCTACATATCCAAGCCAAGTATTATAGAAATTAATCTACTAATCACTAACCTTTTTTTTTCTAGTATGTGCATTTAATCCTGGGCTGCACAGGATTACAGGTTACGCTGGAATGGACACTTGGCCTGATACCATTTCAGCAATTATGGATTTAGAAGTTCCATTTGTCAGTACTGCTTATACAGAACTCGAAGCACCATTAGATCTGAAAAGAATTCAGGATTCTGTGAAAAGGACTGTAAAGGTAAAATATACTATTGATAGTAAATAATTAAATAGAGAAAAAAATTATGCGAAAAGCTTTTATTAAACAATTCATAATATCAAAAAACATTGAAGCAAAACAACAGTTGCTTAAATTAATAGCTTTTACAATTCGCCTATTATTATTTCCATAATAATTAATGTCCTAATATTATTATTTCAGGTCTTGTTTCCACCGCAACAAAACCCGTATGCATCACTTAAGCCTGACAGAAATTTTATATCTGAAGAAAGTGTTCCTTTAATATTCAAAAACTTTTATCTAACTATAGTAAATTGACGGCATTGTTATATGCTTAAAGTATTATTATTTTTAATGAGGAATAGTAAATTAAGACAAACTAACGTAAGAGATTTTTAAATCTAATATTTTGAAAGTTAGATATGATAAAATAAATAAATTTAAATTTAAATTTAATATTTTTCTAAAATATCATATTTTTGTTATAAATGTATTTGCAATCATTAATGCATTTAACATATTTGAAAAAAAATGTTAATTATCCAATATTCAAACCATATACGCCTGCGTTAATGCAATAAAAAAAGCATAAAAGTTTTACCATAATATCAGGCTGATATAATTTAGATAAAATTATCAAATAAATTTAGTTAGACATTTTTAGAAGAATTAGAAAACATTTTTAGAGTATATATATTCTTATATTTTTTAAAAATATTAGAACCTAATATGAATATATATATACATATTTGTATACTGCACTTATCACAATCATACATTCATTAAGGATAAATATACATATATGTAAGCAATTTAGCTAAATAAATATGGGTTACTAAACTGGAATTTTGTAATAAATAATCTATCAACAAGTGAACTGCAATTGACAAATTGACCAAAATCTAGTCATCATGAAGAAATGGAAATTATTTTTATATAAAATAAAAACAAATTTGATCCAGAAATGCCAAGTTGTTAAGAATATTTTGAAGCTACAACTGTATTGTATAACTAAAGTGGCTTTTTGTCTCAAGACAAGATGCATAAACTTCCCAAAATATGGAAATAGTACACTTAATCAATAATACTTAGGATTTAGATACTTGTATGAAATTTTCAACTATTTACTTTGAAAGTAACTTTTGTTTTTTATCAAAATTCTTCTTACTTTCTTACATTTGCATAATATTTTAATGAATTTAAATTCAGATCAAGGTTGTATACCACTTTATTTCTGTAAAAATGTACCTATGGAATTTATGTTTTGCGTTAGTTGAATAATGTAGCTATTATTTTGTAAAAGCTCTTTAAATTTAAAAATAAAACATTAGACCTGATTGCCCCATGGCCGTCCCATTTTCACTGCCTATGGAGTAAAATATAAAATAAAAAACATAGTCAAATAATTGTTTGTTGCAATGTTAATTCGTAAAAATGAGAGATTGGACTTGTTTGTCCCTGGCCATTCCATTTTCCCCGCTTATAGGGTAAAAAGGAACAGGTGACATTTTTTTTTTGAAAAACAGCAAAAAACATATTTTTACAATGACAAATCAGTCGAGAGTTTTACTGAACATAGTCAGATAGTTGTTTGTTTGATATGTGCAGTGGCGGATCCAGCTTCGGCGTCAGGGGGGGGTCATGATTGAACAGTTTTTATAGTCCTCAATGAGTATGTAATAAATATATATATATATATAAGATAGAGCGGGGCTTAAAGATTTGCGGGTAAAAAGGTCCACCACCGATATCTCAAAAACAAGTAAAGTTAAGGGTTTCTTAACAACAATATTTGAAAGTAGAGGAAAAAATGTACAACTAGCCATCACCCTGACTCTTACGACGTTAAAAAAAGCATTTTTACAAAAGATAAATTAAATAAATCTTTATTTCAACTCTGCTGGTGACTATTTTGGACAAAATATCAAATCAAGATTATATACAGAGTTATCTCTGTAAAAAATGTATCTATAAAATTCATATTTTTCATTGTTTGAGTAATGTAGCTATTATTTCGTTAAATCCCTTTAAAATTAAAAATAGTAAATTGGATTGTTTGTCCTCTCGTCGTCCGATTTTATCACGCCTTTGGGGTAAAAAAAGACCAAGTGACAATTTTTTTAAAAACAGCTAAAAACACATTTTTACAGTGATGAATTAACTGGAGGTTGTACTAAAACATAGTCAGACGGTTTTTTGTTTAATGTGTCTTATTGGTTGTTATGTTTTTCGTTTAGTGTTCACAATATAATTGCTCAAACTTACTTAGCCTTACCTTATGTATGTGTATTTTTTAAAAAATAATCTGCGTCTTTGACGTGAGTCAAAATTCGACCTCTCTTCGATGTTTTCTCGTCTAAACCGATGTTAAAATTTAAAAACTATGAAATGAAACTGGATAAGCGCTTGCGTGGATTAGTTTTTTGAGACAATTGGTCGATCCGTTTCTTTACTATTTGCAGAAAAGTGCAAAAATTATCGTCCATGTTTTTGTCAAAAATTCTTAACCGTTTTTTATTCGATTGATATCATTTGGAAATAAATAGTTTCTGTCGAAGATCGGTCTAGTCGTTTCTTTTTCATAATAGATCGTCACATTTTTTGACGATTTAAGTGAAACTTTGCATGGCGATAGATTTTCTACTCTAAATGAACGTACTAAACTATAATAAGGCCTGCAACAAGTGGTTTTGGCTTTTAAAAAATGAACCGTGTGTATGTATTCGGCTTCGTATTTTGTATGTGTTCATTTTCCATCAATGTGTAATATTCAAACCATTTTTTAATTAGTTTGTATTGGTATTTTGCCTTCAGGCAAGTTACATGAACTTCCCGAAATTTGTTAATAATCGACTTTCAGTAAAAAATAAATTAATTTATGAGGAATTAAAGGTATTCCCAGTGGATTTACAATATCACACACAAAACGACGACATTAACTCGGAGTATTTTCTAAAGGCAAATTTTCAAAATTCAATAATTTTTATAATTGAACTAGTTGCCGTAGGATTTTAATGGTTTAGTATGTTCATTAAGACCAAGTACTCTATCGATAAACCAAGTAAATCGTCTACTTTTAATTTTAACAAACGTCAAAAAAACTACTCATTTTCTAAAACTTTGATGAATGTCGTAAGACCGTAATATTTCAATAAGTTGTATAAGTTGTCATGATATATATTATCAAAAAACGTTTCATAAAAATCGGCTCAAATATTTTTTTCAACGACGAAATACAAGCAAACGGCTCGGTAGATTTTCACCTAAAATTAATCAGTTTCATTCTCAACTAATATCTTTCGAATCGGTACGGTTTGTGCTTAAATGTGGACGAAAAGTTTAAATCTTTTTTCAAAATTTCAAAGAAACGGCTCGTCCGATTGTCGCACAAAACTGACAAGCGTTAGTCCTCATTTAGACACATCAAATGGTTTTTAAATTTCTGAAATCGGTCCAGACGTTTTTGAGCAATCGCCGATGAAAAGTCTAATTTTGACAAATGCCAAAAAAACGAAACTAATTTTTGCAAACTTTGACGAATTTTTAAAGCTAAACGAGTTGTCGTGTGGCCGTATTTGTATTATCTAGAAGACTATGATATCTACCGTCAAAAAATTTTTTCAACACTTTATTACAAGAAAACGGCCAGGCCGATCTCTACCAACAACTCATCAGCACTATTCCCAATCAATATCTTTCGAACTGTTTTTGAATTTTCAAAATCGATTGAGAATTGCGGGCTAAAACGTGGACGAAAAATTTTTCACTTTTCTGCTATTTACAAAGAAACGACTTGGCTGGCCGTCGCGCAAAATTGATAAACACTATTCCTCATCGCGATACATCGAATGGCTTCTAAATTTTTTAAATCGGTCTAGCCGTTTTTGAGAAAACGCCGATTTTCAGCAAAAAATCTGTTCACACACACACATACACACACACATACACACACATACACACACACATACACACATACATACTTTTTCCAAATTTGGTCTCATTCGATTCAGAATGGCTTGAAACGTCGAGAAAACAAAATTAGCGAATCGGATTTTTTTATGAAAACATAAACTTCTCCTTCGGGAAGTTAAAACTGCTATGTTTGAAAAAAAATTGCAATAGTTTCCCACTTCGAAATTGGTTTACAGCGATTTGGTATACATCTCTAAATCAGTCATTATTAACTTTCCGTAGGGTAGTTATAGTAATGGGCCGAAAATCTAAAATGATTTTTTTTTGCATTTCTCGGCGTTTTGATGGTTTCTTTCACTTTGTCAAACCTCAGAAAAAATTGATGTGTGTGTGTGTTTTGTATGTCCGCAATTTTTCGTCCACGTTTTCGGGCGCACGGATCAACCGATTTGAATCTTTCAAAAAACATTCGATTCTTATTGATAGGAAGATGTGCCGATTAGTTTCATTAGGTCCAGCAGTTGCGGAGATACGGAGTAAAGAGTGCAGAAAATACAAATCGAGTTTTTGAGAGAATGGAGTATCCGATTTGAATGATTTAAAAAACATTGAGTTTGTAATGATTGTGAGATAAGGTGATTAGTTTTTGGCAAAAGCAGGTCCAGCAATTTCGAAGATACTGAGCTAAATGTGCAAAAAATGGCAGTTTTTGAGAGAACTGAGCGGCCGATATGAATGATTCAAAGAACGTTCTGCTTGTTTTGACAAAATAATTGCTTTTGAAAAAAAATTGGCTTATTTTTTTTTCTAAACTTTTTTTTATATATGGTAAATAATTTAGATTTTAATATTGATTCTGACTAAAGTTTAAAAAACTTAGTACTTCAAATAAATAGTTTTAACTTTGCAATTTAGTTTAAATAATTCTTATAAATATCAGACATTGTTACAATACTTATAATAATCTATTTGAAAACATTTAATATTTCTCCAACATTTCGTTAAGGTACGGGAAGTTCCGCAGCAATTTGCCTTAAGGCACGATGCCATACACCCGACTAGTTTTTATATTCATTAAGTCGTCTATTTATAGATGTTAGGATTACTGAAAGTTCATGCATAAGGACCACTCACAATCAGTTCAATTTTTTGATTTTTGAATGAAATTTTGTTCCTGAAAATCCTTAAATTTT